TTATTATTATTATTATTATTATTATTATTATTATTATTATTATTATTATTATTATTATTATTATTATTATTATTATTATTTGGCACCATGTATATTTCAGCTCATAAATGTCTGCTCCAATGATGGCCAGAGAATGTTCGAAGCGGCAGCTGTGGGTAGCTTGTTGGCCGGAGGTCCTATCGTTGCCATTCTTGGCATGGTTTACACAGTTGTCATTCTTGGACCAACAGGCTTCCTAGGTTCAGCTATTTTCGTCCTCTTCTATCCCGCCATGGTGAGTAGAAGACTCTCTGCTTAAAAGCCAAATCACTGAGTATTGAAATGGGACAATATATTGTGAATATTTACAGTCGTGGTGAATATGGGTGTAGGATCAGGGTGAAGGTTCCTTCTCCGAGCTGGTGGGTTGGTTTCCAAATGTTTTGTTACCAGGCTAGCTAACATCTTCAGCGGAGTCCAACTGAAGATGTTACCTAGCCTGGTAACGAAACGTTGGGAAACCTGGCAGAGGGGGTCAGGTTGTTCACCAAAGCACCAGAGGGAAGGTCGAGAAACAATGGTTGGAAACTGATCAAAGAGAGAAGCAACCTGGAATTAAGGAGAAACTTCCTGACAGTGAGGACAATCAACCAGTGAAACAGCTTGCCTCCAGAAATCTTGGGCGCTCCATCACTGGAGGTTTTTAAGAAGAGACTAGACAATCTGTCTGAGATGGTATAGGTTCTTCTGCTTGAGCAGGGGGCTGGACTAGAAGACCTCCAAGGTCCCTTCCAGCTCTATTCTATTCTTCTATTCTTCAACCCACCAGCTCAGAGAAGGAACCTTCACCCTCATTGTGAACATTGTTATTCATGCCACAGAAATTCAAAACACTCTCACAAATAACTGAGAAAAATTAACTGCCTAAGCAGACTATTAGTTCAACAAGGGAATACAGGACAATGTTTTTGTTTTTTGTTTTGCTTTTGTTACCGTATTCAGATGGATTTAACTTTTCTTCACTGTTGTGCTTGTGCTGAAATAGTTTTCAGGCCCTTGCTAGAGAAGCATGCAAGGAGTGTGTGCTTGTAAGGACAGAAATTAGGCTGCCGATCTGCAGACCGGCAGGCAAATCTAGTTTAAAAAAATCTCTTCATTCAAGGAAACGCCTGTGAAAACAATACTTTAAGCAACTTTAAGATGGTGGACTTTAATTCCCCAAATCCCCCAGTTAGAATACAAGAAGTTCAGCTTTCAAACTTCTCTAGCCAGGATGCTGGCTGGGGAATTCTGGGAGTTGAAGTCCA